GAAGAGCGTGTACACTCTTCGAAAAGCGTATTATACTGACTTGGGATTCAAAGGGGTCGTAAGCCCAGATAATACCTTCCTTTAATTTTTCTGAGGTAAGCTTAAGGCTAACAAAAATTCATCGGTTTGATAAGGTTTTTCGCTGGGTAGTTGACCCCATCAACCTTAACTTGCCCTTGCTCGATTTTGAGAACAGATATAAAAGGATAATTACGTTTTGGACACAGTATTAATAACAGTAGCGAATTGAACTTGTCGCAGAGCCAGTGCTGATATTGCGAAAAACCGATTTTGACAGCTCTTGTTATGTCCACAAAATAGCACAGCCATTGTCATCACATTTCGTCTTGCACATAGCACGCATTTCGTAAAGTTCATGCGCTTCATACGACATTAATTGATCCAAAGTAATAAAAATCTCAATTGATCTTAAGGTTTCTGTTAAATCTTCGATTTTATTCACAAAGTTTATTTCGTCGAAAAAAATTATCCAAAATAACAATCATATTTGTCATTGATTTGTTCGAAGATTACAGTAAAAGGTAAGAGATCGCTCTAAAGTAATGAAACACTCAACAATTCAAATAAAATGAAATCAAAGGTTCAAATTCACCATAGTTGACAATCACATTCAATTTCGGAACAATTGGTCATAAATAAAGATGCAATAAAATTGCACGAGATTGTAGTGTAGATAATATACAGAATATAAATACATAAAATCAATTTTCTATTTATTAGGTAAAAATGTTGAGCTGGAAAGAGGAGATGGACATAATGCTTGCTGTATTCGACAGTCAGACAAAAACTTCTTTAAAGAACATTAAACTGGCACTCAAACGCAATGGTTTATCGTTTAGTGCCGAATTCAAGCAATATTTTCTGGGCGCTTCTTATGATCGGTGAGTGAATAAATCAGTATTTTCGATCATTAAGTGAGTTCTTATTAGCTCATTACTATTGTAGGATCAAGAATACGTTCAATCAATTCGAAATTGATTCGCTGTTTGAAGATCAAATCTGTCTTGGTCTGAATGCTACCATGTCGACAGATGGACTTCAGATGTCAAACCCAATATATGAGAAAAGTCACTACATGGGTGTTCCAGTTGAAATCATCGACTCAAGTGATGAAGATGATGCAAGAGGTCAGACAAAACTCGAAGAGCCAGAAACAGCATCTGATTTTCATTACGGTACAACTGGCATAACATTTGAATTTAACGATTTTGTGGAAAATGACGACGATGGAAGATTTCCTGGAATTCTAAGATCCAATGGTTTCGACTGCCAAAAAGATATTTTTCAAAGCGACGATGGAGAAACCGACGAAGTGATGGAAATGAACGATGACGTTTCGAGGACTGTATTTGGCGTGAATCGCGTTATGAACTCAAGAAACAAACGTACATGCACTGTAACTTCGAACAATCGACCAAAAAAAACTCCATCGGTTTCGACAGCAGAATCATTGGGCAATAAAAATCCAAACAAGTTGGCGATGAAGAAGCGATTCCAGTGCGAATTCTGTGCATATTCCAGCAATTATAAGTGTTACCTCAAGAGACACACGCGTACTCATACTGGTGAGAAACCGTATCGATGTGATATTTGCCGCAAAAACTTCTCGAGATTGGACAATTTGAAGCAGCACAAAGTGACTCACACCGAACAAACTCCGTTCCATTGCCGCGGCTGTTTCGATGGATTTTCCCAAGAGACCGAAAGAAACGCCCATGAAAAAGTGTGCAAATCGCGTCGATATGAATGCCATATCTGCAAGAAGTTTGCGACTTCGAATAAAAATCTGTTAAAAATGCATATGTGTACGCATACCGGTGAAAAACCGTTCCGATGCGAGATTTGTATGACACGTTTTACGCAGAAAGGAAGTTTGAAAAAACATTTGAGCACCAAGCACATTAGAATCAATGTATAAATTATACTAATGACTGAAAATTAGTTGATTTGAATTATGATGTCGAATTATGCATATCTCTAATCTATTACTATGAATAATCGTTAGTTAAATTTACAAATTTAATCCAAGTTCATTGCAATTTAGTTCATACAACCAAACAAATGATATCCAACAAATTTCCGTACTAAAAGATCTTTCTGCTTTCAATAAAATGAATATTCCGAATCGAGTAAATTTGATTTATTTATTTTAAATATTCTTTCAATTTAAGTGTAAAACATGCTGAAATTCATCAAGCGAAATGCTACCGCTTTGCATGGGTTAAAATAAGTTTTTTTTCTAGCAAATATTCCAATTTGGTCAGCTGAATGAGAAAACAGTTTTGATTCCGCGAATACAGGCGAATGCAGAAAATTACGCGTAATCATCAAAGCTACTTTTAGTAAAATGTTTACGTATATGGCACATGAACATAGTAAGGAAAGCGAGTTAGTATTAGAAGAAACATTAGAACAAAAGCGAGATTGAGAGAGAGCGAGAGAGGAATAAAAAAAGTCAAAATTCAAAATTATTAATCTAATTTTTGAACCATTTGGCCGCATATACTCAGAAATAACATCGAATTTGTCTCTACGGCGAAATCCCATTTTGACAGCACATGACGTTTTCTCATCAAATAATCATAAATAGACTCATTAGCATATTACCTCTCTTTGTGCAACGCACGCACATTTGATCTTCTTGAAAATTCTATCATTTTTCCAAAAAATTCATCATACATTTCTAAAAAAAAATCTATTTGATTTCATACATAGTGCTTTTCGTGGTTAAAGACGATTCATCGAAATATGTAAGTGAATTAGATGATTTTTCTTCGGTAAAGTCTATGTATTGTGTGTTGTGTTAGATGAAATAAAAAATTGGTTTGCTCATAAAAACTAATATAGCGTCTAATACAATGCACTTCATGAAGCACAGACTAATTTTGAAATATTCTTCATTCATTTTCATTAATTTTGAAATATTCTTTTCTAAATTTTTCTAATTCAAAGTTGAAGATTCGTAGAATTGAAGATGGTATCAATGAATTGGGGAGAAGAGATGTCAAAAATGCTCAATGCATTCGAAAATCAAGCCTTTCAATCTTTGAGCAGCATAAAATTGACGTTAACGCGCAATGGCTTAAAATTTAACCCAACGTTCAAGCAGTACTTTTTAGACGCTTCCATTACTCGGTTCGTATAAGAAACATCCTTTATTCGTTACTCCTTTGAATTCAAAAATAATTTCAAATATTGTTCTGTATGCAGATTGGTGGAAACGTTCAACCGATTTGAAGTCCATTCACGAATTGAAGACCAAATGATGGACCAACGCGATGCAAATATGTTACAGGATACAACTTCACAACAAATCGAAAATGATTCCACTCAATTCAGTGATCGATTGAGAAACAATGGACCGTTTCAAAAGACTGACTTGATAGACACCGATGACGGAAGTAATGACGATAGACATGCAACAACAATCGATGAACTGGATGACAATTCCTTGATGTCTTTGTTTCAATCCAACATGGTTGAACGTTTAGAAACTTTTCCAGTTTCTGATCATAAGTAAGTCAAGATCGGTCGATGTTATTTTGATATTTTCAAAGTAATTTATTTTGATCTTCTACAATAAATCATTTGATTTCCTCTGATTTGTCTATGTAACAGCAATGTCGTCAAAAATAAATTGAAAATGGAAGATACGGAAGTGGATGACGGCATTGGGGTTGATGTCAATCAAGATAATTGGGCAGCAGTTGTAGAACCTTCTCCTTATTCTATTGAGAACACCAAATCTGGTTCAGATATGTTGAAAAATACAACACGACCATCATCATCATCTTCATCAAACCAGTTGGATTCAAAGAAACAAAATAAATGCTGTCAGCTATGTGGATATTCCAATAAGCACAAGAATGGGAATCTTATACGTCACATGCGTACTCACACCGGTGAGAAACCATTTCGATGTGATATTTGCCGCAAAAACTTCTCGAGATTGGAAAATTTGAAGCAGCACAAAGTGACCCACATCAAAGAAATTCCGTTCCATTGCCGCGGCTGTTTCGATGGATTTTCACAAGAGACCGAAAGAGACGCCCATGAAAAAGTGTGCAAATCGCGTCGATATGAATGCCATATCTGCAAGAAGTATGTCAATGTGCGTAAAAATCAATTGAAAATGCATATGCGAAAGCACAACGGTGAAAAACCGTTTCGATGCGAAATTTGTATGAAGC